AGAGAGAGAGAGAGAGAGAGAGAGAGAGAGAGAGAGAGAGAGAAGATAAGGTACAATGCACGGAAGGGAAGATTGGGGAATCATAAATTCATCATGTCATAATTGAATCCGAGTCTATGGTGTCCCTTGAGATACCATTTTCATGACAATGGTGTGTCAAACAGTCCCTCAGTAGGATAGTGAAAGATTTGTCATTGCACAGGAATCGCTTCTTGCCCCCATTAGATATGCATTTATTACTATGCTCCACTGCTCTCTAGTTTTTGATTTTGTTTTTGATTTTTTCTTGAATAGACAGACACATGTTAGTGCAACTCGTGTGCTACGTACACGTGAGATTTGTTTTAGAAAATGAGCCGAGTTTAAGTCCAGATTGAATCTGGATCGAGTCCGAGTAGTTCAATTATTTTACATATAAACGAGTTGAGTTTTGTGAGTTTAAGTCGAGTTTAAAAACAAGCCTAAAAAATTTTTCAACCTCAATTCGTTTAAAAAATGAGTTGAATTTGAACCGAATTTGAATAACTCGTCTCGATTAATACCCTTAATGAAGTGTTAATCAAACCTAATGACTGGGTCCCCTTTGAACCTAATTACTAATTAGATTTGTACTACTCCTGGAAGCCTATCACCTTTCTAGTTATCATATGATTGCCTTCTTCCTCATCGTATCAAAAAAAATTATTCATTAGGACAACACATAAACCACCTAATCAAGCTTGCAATGGATTGATATAATCTTGTTAGATAACATTAATGAACAAAATGGAAGGTACACAAACACTCTCTCCCTCTCTCTCTCTCTCTCTCTCTCTTTGTGCCATGTTAATACGGAGCTTTCCTCTGGACAACTAGGGTGACATGGACAAGTCTGGGACAACGTTGGGGACCAAATAGCTCCAAATTGCTAGTGGAAGCTTCACTAGGGAAGGGGATGTATGGGGTTTGTTGCGGATTCCCATCTAGTAGATGAGGACTAGGGTTTCTTGGAGTGTTTTGCCGTCAACTTCATTATTATAATTCTTGAGCATATAAACTAATACACTATTTGATTGCCAAGAACCTTGAAATATGAAAACTTAGACCAAGTTAGGGGAACTGACACAGTCTCCCACATGCAAGCATGTGTATTAAGATTAGTCGATTAGAATCTCAAACCTGTTGAGCTTAATCCAAGAAATTACTTTGTTCTAGATTCGAAATATATTCGAAGAACAAATGGTTGCCCAAAACCCTAGGAAATCGCGTGGGTTGTGGGTCGAATTTGGGCGAGCTAGGTTACCCTATGTAGTGTAACAAGATCCTACATCAATATGATTTAAGTACTTTCCAAGTGGGGACACTTGCCAAGCACAAAAAATTACATTAAACCATGCATAAGCTACAAAAAATTACATTAAACCATGCGTAAGCTCAAGTTTATATCAAAGAAATAACTCCAAACAGAAAAAAAAACCCTCAACTTGGGACTCTTGCCTTGTCTCTCCGAGACACCACCTTAGAAAAGAACCTCAAAATTGCTGAACAAACAAACATATGGTTCCATTGTATAGTTACAAGAGAAGCTTTTAAGGAGATGTGTTGCAACAAAAGCTACACTCCAAATATTCTGCTATCTCTATACCAAGAAATCTTCATTGGAAATACAGCCATTCCTCATGCAAAAATTCCATGAATTTTTTTCCTAGAAAAAGCTATAAACATCCAAAACCCAATAACCCACCTGAGAGAGAGAGAGAGAGAGAGAGAGAGAGAGAGAGAGAGAGAGAGAGAGAAATTACGTACAAAAATCCCCAATTAATATCCAAGTAAACTGCAAATATATCCCCAAATGTATCAAAATACTCTTATTTTACATATGTTTATAGGTAAAAACAATAAGAAATATTTATTCGAGAAAAAATCTTAATAATTTTATTCAATCACAAATTACAGGAAAGTTATCCCCTTGGTAGATTTATCCATTCCAGAGAGACACAAAAGAACAAAACGATAAACCACATAAATCTATCTGCCTTGTCTTAAAATTTTTAAGCAAAAAGGAGAATCAAAGAAGTGAAGACAAACTCTCCATACATTCCCTTTATCTTTTTGGCTTTTCTCCTATTGGTTAGAAGACCAATTGGCAAATGGGTGGAGATATGGGTACTGCTTGGTTGTTAGAGCAGTACTTTGCTGACCGCGGGCAGATGTTTTAGCGAGAAGCAGAGTGGTCCGGGCTGGTGAGTCTTCAAGTTGATATCCATTGCCACTCTCAGACTGGGTCGGCTTTGGATTTGGGGTAAAAAGCCTAGAGAGTAAGAGAGAGAATTTGCCATACTGCACTTTATTCTCTTCAAATTCGATACTTTCGTCTAATCAGAACAAGGTTTTGAGGAGAGAATACTACACTCCTCTCTCTACTTTCTCTCTCTAAAGTATCTACCTCTCTTTATGTCTCCTACATTGTCTTGTTCTAACATCAGAATCTCATAGTCTTACTTCCACGCATCAGTGTTGTCCCTCTCTATCCGTTGCCCCTTGAATTTCTTTGTTTCTTTCTTCTTTCCTCTGTTTTCTCTGGACTTGGCACAGAAGAACAAAGAGAAAGAAAATAACTCAACTGGGTTATTTGGATTTGACTCGCGTTTGATTACCGAGAACCAAAATGCCAAGAAACTGGGATTTTCTTCTCTCCCTCAATTATTTTCTCTTTATAACCTGAGAAAACAGAGGATTATGCTCTGGTATCTTTCCAATAAATGAGTTTTTCTCCCTGTTCTGAGCCAGTATCTATCATCTTTTCTTCATTCTTATTTAGAATTTGTAGATAGATTAAGCAGCCTGTGATTGAAAGGCAGGATTCAGTTTCTGTGGTCTTTCCCTTGAATATCTTGATTTATTTTTCTTAATTAACACAAAATTTTTTGCATAACCCAGAAGTTTCAATTGAAAGCCGAAGCAAGAGCACAAAGTTTCAATCTTGTTTGTCCGTAAGCTCCTCGTATTATTTATGAAGTTGTGAAACAATGAGAGATGGGAACTCCAAGAAAAGCAAGGTTTGGACTGACAAAATGCCAAAGAGCTTCAATAATCTTCCATTTATCTGCTGCTTCTCTGCATTGTTTGTTTTTCCGATTCCTGACTTTGTTGTATTCTTGGTGAAGCTTTCATGGCCTAAGACACTGGTTAAGAAATGGTTCAATATCAAGAGCAAAGCTGAGGACTTTCAAGCTGACGAAATGGTTTACGAAGGTAATTCATCCATCTTCTGAGCTTTATCTAATCATGATCTAAATCAAATTTGTAGGTTTGAATTTGGGATTCTGTGCTTGTATATTCTTGAACGAAAATTGGATTTTCTCTGCCACTTTCACCGACTTTTTTGTAGTTTATTCTGCATCAATCACTATCTGCATTACGCAATAACATTTGGATTTTAATAGGGTTCTGCTATTTTATATTTGCAGCTTAAGGTCTGTTCTTTGTTTTCTTCTTCTTTCTGGAACTCATAGGTTTTGTATTTTTAGGTCAGAACTAAATTATTTTTGTTGTTTTGTGTTTTGAGTGTCTGAGATTGATGCAACAACAGTGAAATGGCCGCAGCTTTAACTTTATTTTTTTGCTTTTTCAGGTGTTGATGAAGATTGGAGGAACAACTTCTCAGAGAGGGAGGCATGCACTATCAAGAAAAGCAGAACAGGTTCAGTATCAGACAAATATTTTTCCTTTGGACCACACCACTCTCAAACCCCACTAAAGCTTTGCAGAACATAACCGAAAACTATGAACATAGAGAAAAAAAACTAGTTCTATTCTTCTCTTTACTTTTTTTTTTCCCACCCTTTAATTTTTGTCCAATTTTCTCTAACCCCATTTCAATTAACAGAGAGATCGAGTAGGAGGAACTCAGATCGTGTCCGGCGACATAAGATTGACCTTGATACCTCCCAAGTTAGAGACGTGCATAGTTATAGGTATGTTAGATCTTAGTCTTTTGTTTAGTTGTTTTTGTAGGAGTTTGTAGTTATTATTTTATCTTTTCATGTGGGCACAGGATCTTTGCAGCTACATGGAATGTGGCTGGAAAATCTCCAACAAGTTATTTGAATCTTGAAGATTGGCTTCACACCTCAACTCCTGCTGACATTTATGTTCTTGGGTCAGTCATTAACCACAAATTTGCTATTTACCTTTGTTGTAAATTTGTAATTTTTGTAATATTTGACAAAGTCCCTTTGACATTCAGGTTTCAAGAAATTGTTCCTTTGAATGCTGGTAATGTTTTGGGAACAGAGGACAATGGTCCAGCTAGAAAATGGCTAGCACTCATTCGAAAGACTCTAAACAGTCTTCCGGGCACGAGTGGTGCTTGCCACACACCTTCACCAATCCCTGATCCAATTGTAGAACTAGATGCAGACTTTGAGGGATCGACTAGACAAAAGGCCTCGTCTTTCTTCCATCGTCGTTCATTCCAATCACTGAGTCGAAGCATGAGGATGATGGATAATGACATGTCAATACCCCAACCTCGACTTGATCGTCGATTCAGCATTTGTGATCGGGCCATGTTTGGCCACAGGCCAAGTGATTATGACTCAAATGTTTTTGGAGGGCACATGCCATATGATTACGAGCCAAATGTTAGATGGGGTGGTTCCTCTGATGATGAAAATGGGCCTAGTGATTCACCAGGTACCACACACTACTCGCCTATGTCTTACAGTGGATCTATTTCTCTTGAGGATAGAGATAGACATCCAGGACACTCAAGGTACTGTTTAGTTGCGAGTAAGCAAATGGTGGGCATATTTCTCACAGTATGGGTGAAGAGTGATTTAAGAGATGATGTTCGCAACATGAAAGTATCTTGTGTGGGCAGAGGATTGATGGGTTATCTTGGAAACAAGGTACATTTCTGTCCTCGAGGGAATTTGTGAAAATTGAGAGCAAACTTACCTAAAATCGAGCAAAATTAGCAACCTTATCTTGTTGGTTTTGCAGGGTTCAATCTCAATAAGCATGTCTTTGCACCAAACAAGCTTCTGTTTCATCTGTAGTCATTTAACCTCGGGACAGAAGGAGGGTGATGAGCTGCGAAGGAACTCTGATGTCATGGAAATTCTTAGGAAGACAAGGTTTCCAAGAGTTCACGTCATGGGATATGAGAAGTCCCCTCAGACAATCCTTGAGCATGAGTATGGCCTTCATTCATTAACTTGCCTGCTCTCGTGAAATTTCTATTTATTTTATTAAAGCATCATCAATTTTTCTGTTTATTTCACTGTGCTGTAAACCTTTTCTCTGATTATTGAATTTGGCAATTCAGAAGAAATTTACATTTTGGCACTATGTTGCCTGAAATACTAATCCATAGTGTTATGTCATCCGTGTAGTCGAATTATATGGCTTGGGGATTTGAATTACCGCATTTCCCTGTCCTACCGTACTGCAAAGGCTCTTGTTGAGATGCGCAACTGGAGGGCTTTGTTAGAAAATGACCAGGTCTGTCAATTCTATTCTTGTAGGGGAATCTATTTTCTTTTGGGTGAGCTATGTTTCCAGAATTTTTTAGTCTTTCTTCATGGGGTGCGGGGTGGCAACTTCGTAAAGAGAGGAGGAGGGGGGAGGGGGGGGGTCTGTGTGCATCATTTCTTCTTGAGTTACATCATGAATTGCTGCATCTGAATCTTTGATGGTTATTCTTAGCAGCTACGGATAGAGCAGAGGAGAGGGCGCGTCTTTGAGGGATGGAATGAAGGGAAGATATATTTCCCTCCCACATATAAGTATTCAAATAATTCAGACAGATATGCAGGCGATGACATGCATTTAAAAGAGAAGCGAAGAACACCTGCCTGGTAATCCCTTTCACTCTGCAAAATACAGGCAAAAAATAGTTAACTAGAACCAGGGGGACAAGGTTAAACTTACTAGTGTGTGATTACACAAGAATATATAACTTAATCTTACAAGTGTGGGATTACAAGAGAATATATACTATACTGTAAAGAGAGTAGAGACCTTTATGATATACTGACCATAATTTATCATAATATCTCTGGAGAGCTAATCTAGCAATTTGATGATCATGATATCAATGGAAAAGTGATTTAGCTATTTGGTTTGTGAAGGTGTGATCGGATACTTTGGTATGGTAGAGGGCTCCATCAAATATCTTATGTTCGTGGGGAGTCTCGATTCTCAGATCATAGACCAGTTTATAGCATATTTTTGGCAGAAGTTGAGTCCATCAACCGTAGCCGAATAAAAACAAGCATGAGTTGTTCCAGCTCCAGGATTGAGGTGGAAGAGTTGTTGCCATACTCTAATGGATACAATGAACTTAATTTTTTCTAATGTACTATCCACATCCAAGTAAACTCTCTCTCTCTCTCTCTCTCTCATTGCTTGCTCAGCTTTTTCTCAATCAGTTGCGTTTTTTTTTGTTGGTTTCTCCAACATTTACTGTGGTGCTCTTCAGGGAAACAGGATTTTGCTCATCTCAGTGAACAGTCACTAACTTCACTAATACTTCAACTCGCGGAGACTCTGCAACAGAAGTAGAAGTTATGAAAACGCTTCAGAAGTTACAGTCGCAAGGCAACAAATTCTTAGCTGTTCCTTCCAATATTCTCATTACGGAAGCAAGTTTTGCGCTGTCTTAAAGAAAGAGTTTCAATATTTGCATCAATTCAACCAAGTCATTCCTCGATCAATCAGGTGATTACTCAAAGAAAAGCGTTAAGTTTGGAAAAAATAAAAATAAAAAAGCTGCTTCTATTAAATTGGCAACAGTGACATTATAGGCTGATGTCTTACTTGTCGCTTGATGTTGCTTTCAAGCTGAACAAACTGGATCCTCCATGAGGGTTATCTCATGTAAAATAGCACATGTAGTCACATATATCTTAAATTTATTGTTATGAATGGCTCATTTGACAATGGATATACATGAGAATCTCTGAAGAGTTCTAGTTTTATTTACAGTCCGAGATGATCTCTTGTTTGTTCTCCTTGTGAAGTGTAATTTTGTCCCTCTATTTGCAGGTTGGCCAAGAGATATTCGTCTCGACAGTCTTAGATGTGTTTGATTTGGCAAATTGCAACAGAAGGTTAGTCTTTGGTTACTTTCTTTTTGTTGCTTATCTATCTTATTTTATTAGCAGTTTAGTATGTAATTCTTTCAAAACCTTTTTCTCAACAGGTTCCTACCTGTAACTATGTGCATAACATGCTTACTAACGGCACTCTCCAGCTGACAATTCTTTCCATCACCAAGTCTAGTCAGTAAATTTGAAAGGCCTTTTGAATAGTAAGGATCTACGACCGCACCTCATTAGGGGCGGAACTTGGGTGGGCCAACCTAAACCTAACCCGCACCCAACCCGCGGTCAACCCGAAAAATTCAGGTAGTTAAAGTTGAATCATTGTTTGTCCATCATGTAATTTATTTTGGATTCATTTAGTTACTTGGTTAACATTTCTGTAATGGTCTTGCAGGTTGAGAGCACCTATCTATGCAAAGTGGCTTGGTGATATGATTAATTATAATTCATTTTGTAGAGAGAGAAAATTTAATTCTGGATTATTTTGCCCCTAAACTAGAATGCCCAAAATAACACCCCCTACCCCCAAAGCTCCCAATAAGTTTCCTCAAAGAAATGGGTATTTTTGAGTCCACTGTCTTTTCATTTTTCCGTTTATTTATCTTGTCGGAAAACGCTTTTGGCACTATTATCTATGGCTCTACGTTTTACTTCTATGCAATCAATGGCGCTTGCCCTCACTTACCCTGATGAATTAGATTCAGATTGGATTTTAATAAAAATTATGATCCAAAGAGGTTTTTTTGCAATTAATATCTAAATCTGTTTAAAACTACAAGGCTCAATATGTACACCCGACAATTAAGCTGAGCTTCAACAAGTTATATTGAAATTTCAACTCATTGTTGTCAAATTGCAGTTGGATTGTATCATATATTTATAATATACATATGAATATAATTTAGATTAAATAATCAAGTTAAATATAAGGATAGTCAAATTTTAGTCTAAAGAGTGTGATATAATATATTTTAATTGACATTATTAATATATAATATTAATTTATATTCGATTAATTAGATTCGAATCATAATTTAGTACATTGGCAGTGGGCAGCAGGATACCCTTTTTGAAGGAGGGACCACATGTACATTTTGAAATTAGGCAAGCATAAAAGTTTGTTGAATTGGAGTCAAACAGGAAGCATTGGTACTTTGATATTCGTTTTTCAAAAATAGTTTAATAACTAATACAACGAGGGTTATTCGTCCTACAATTTTCTTCAAAAATGCACTAATTTGCCATTTTAATTCCAAAAAAAAAAAAGATAATTGCCAGTATTCACTAACAGATCAGTACCCACCAAGAACAGGTACTCCTCTATTTTATTTTGTTCTTGACATGTATAATCCTACGCATAAACTAAGTATTGATTTAATTATTGAATAATTTCTATTGATAATCAGAATTTTTTTTTGAGTAATACTATACAATTCAAATGAAAATCAAAAAATTATAATTTAAATACATATTATTTTTTGAATGAATGGGTTCTATTAATTTTTTTCATTGGAATCCACTTATGTAATACTATTTACCTAATGAATAATATATATTTAGGCTGTAATTTTTAAGTTATATTTGGATTATTTAACATTGTTTTGAAAATTTTCTACCTATTTTGAATCAAAATTCCAAACTCCAAGGAGAATCCTACCAGGCCTACACCCAGACAGACGTGACATTTTGCATATGTCACTTTTTCCTTTGTACGGGGAATTGGAAAAAAAAAAAAACATGAAGAAAAATAAAAAAGATAGATAGAATTTGCAATTCCCCATGCAAAGGAATATTAAGTACTCCACTAGAAGAATGATTTAATCAGAAATTCTTAGTTAATCAAATTTAAAATCCAAAAAAATACAAATGACATGGTAAGATTCAAACAAACACCTAATCAATTACTTAAAAAGGATTATTTTATTTTATTTTATTTTATCAAAAGTTTATTTATTAATGATTAAATGGCGGTGGAAGTGTCCTTAAATGGTACAAGGGCCCACCGACCAGAGTTGACTATTCCGAACCCCACTCCCTTTAAAGCATGTCCTTAACCTTCAATACATCGTAGTTATTCGGGGGTGAGTGAAAATCATTCTCCAATGTTGGACGAATTGGTTGTGTTCATACCCCCTGGCTATTGGAGTAGGAGTAAAGCTCTTCTGTTCCTTTGCCCAGTATGGCAATTGCAAATATCGTAAATAATTATTTTTTCAACGTAATTATATTTAATTATTTTTCTAAAAATATTAAATATAATCATTATATCACGTCAAGAATGTCACGTGATCAAAATATGAGAGACAAAATAAATAATCGTAACCGACCACAGTCCTAACCCTCAAAATATAATCGAAATATTTTCCGTCTATCTATGATACTAATCAGTAAAAAAAAAACATAAGATAGTGTTCAATACAAGTATTATAACATCAATTATTGTTGTTGAACCTTGGACTTTGTTAATTAATTAGAAGAGAGAAGACACATGACATCCCAGTGGGGAAGGTGGGTCTGCACCTTGGTCTCTGTTTTCTGGAACAAAAAGATTAGAGTTCTAAAGACATGACCACCGTGGTTAGCCACACTGATACTTTAAAGAATCCAAAAGTAAAAGAAGGAAAAATAAAAGGCTCGGCAGCTTCCTAATTCCTTCGACTTACTAACAATTTGACCCTTTTTTCTCGGTCTCCTCACTTGGTTGGTCCACTAGATATATACTAAACTATAGTTCAGTTGTATTAGGCAAAGGCTAACCATTCAAAGCTTGTGGTATTACTTTTTCAAGAGAACGATAACTTGGCAAGATCTAACCTCACGTAATGTGCATGATTAACAGGTGATTTCATACATTGGTAGGTTATTTTGTAATCATGATTTCAAAATATATGTAGTTAAAATAATTTTTTATTATATTATAAAAATAATACGCCTTGGGTACAATAGTAATTGGCAACTTGGGCAATCAATAAAAGTCCCTTGAATCCTGCCATTTGAGCAAATATGATATTCAAACCCTATTTTCATTTTCTTTTCCTTCCTCACATGCATTAAGAGAAGAACAAGCTGGCTTACTAAGTACGTCAATTTTATTTTATTTTATTTTTGATTATTAAAAACCATCCAAACAATATGTTATATGAATTCATTACTACTGGTAGTGCTCGAAATTACTATGCCCAACAAGTGCAGAACAATGACTGTGTGAAGCCCAATAGGGCTTTGTGAATGTTGGGTTAATAAGAAAGTAAATGTTGATTTTAGATCAAAAAATAAAATATAAGTAGTTCACATTAGCCGACAGACTAAAATTACATTCACTGTAATGGAAGCTCTAACTTTTTAGAATTTGTATTGCTTGAGGAAAAAAACAATGGTTACAGTAGGTTACTTGACTGAAAGCCTCTTTTTACACAGTATATTATAAATAAAATTTTGGAACTCCCTTTTGTACAACGATTTCGTCTTCTATTTATACATGTGGTCATTTAGTATTTTCTGCGATTCTTTCTATTCTTTTCTGATTCTGTGGTCCTCTTTCTATTTATCCTGTAGCGGGGTTTGTTACTCTGACGCACGTTGTATACATGATCCTCAAAATGGAATGCATACAAATATTCTCTTTATTAAAGAGTATTTGTTGATTAGAGTCACTAGAAATTGTCCCCCTATCTCTTGAAGACGTGGCACGACGAGAATTGTTTAGAGATTTATCTCATACTGAACTCCTAATTCCCAAGCTGGGCCACTTCGCCTTGTTTAAGGTGACCGAGCAAAAATATTCTGAGTTGGGCGTCATTAGACTTTCAGCCTTGGGTTGTGGCCCACCTTTTATGATAAGGCGGGGGCATTGTGGGTGGGCCGGTTAGACTGCCATGTAACTAGAGGGCCCGTGAGGTGTCTTTGGACTTTGAATGAGCAACTTAAGTTAAGATTCATCATTATTAGCTATAATAAAGGGTGTCAAACGTGTCGAGTTAAACGGGTGAAAAATATATAAACTCGTATATGACACGTTTAATAAACGGATGAAAAATCTCAACATGAACACGACTCATTTAATAAATAGATAACACGATACGACTTCTTTAACCCGTTTCATGTTTAAAAAATTATATCAATAAATTTTAATACTCTATATTTTTTACTGTCAATTGTACTTACCTCAAAAAAAAAAAAAATTTTAGTCAAATCTCACATAAAAATCAAACTTGAAGCCTAAAAAAAAAAAGACTAGAAGCCACTGCCTTTTATAGGCAAATCAACCCTCTTCATCTTCACTCATTTGCCGATGTGGGACAAAAACAAAAGATATTGATTTACTTTTGTCTTTGAACTGCTCTCCATCTTTCTATCTCCCATTCTTTATCTTTGAACTATTGTTTTATTTTTTTTTTGGGTATTGATTTCTTTACTTTTTTTTTTTTGACTAATTTTTTAAAATAATTATTAATTTATTATTATATTAATTTTATTTAAATAGATAAAAGTGTGATAAACGGTTTGACAAGTCTCACTCGAATACGATTCATTTATTAAATGTGTCTGGCGAATCAACTCATTTACTATCCAAGCTTATTAAAATCTCATTCAAACACGTTTAATTCGTGTCGATTAATCATATCATGTCAAATTTTGCTAGACCTAGATATAATAGTGTCTAATGCATATAATCACTCATAAACTATATGAATTGATTAAACTCTCAAGTTTTTCCGATTAAAAAACCTAAACTTAGGATGTAAAGGCCTATATCCGTCATTGTTAGAACACTAAACTAACCTTTGTAGTATGAGACCCATACTTACCCAATAACATAAAATCTATAAATTAAAGTCACAACACCCTCCTCACTCCCACAAGTTATTTTTATGCCAATTAGGAATAATTCTATATTTGAAGACACTTTACAATATTAAAAATTAAGTATTGATCATGTAATATTTATATTTTAAAAAATAATATTTTTTCTCTCTTTTTTTTTAATTACGTAATTTAAAATTAAAGTGAAGAGAAAAAAAATAAGAGAAGTAAGGGAAATATAAGAGAGAGATAAATGTAGATTAATAGAATTATTTGACATTAGAAAATATTGGGTTGTCTGATATTAAAAATAGTATAAAAATGATGATGTGTTTTATACAAAAAAACTC